AAAAAAATAAATATTCGAGTTTTAAAAAACTTCAATTATCAGAACTATGGCTGAGCGTCGGTTCTCAGATGACCTGAGTGATATTGGAACACGTTCGCAGTGATATTTCTGCATAATATATTGACTGTGGATGTAAATGTCAATTCAGAAAAACTTTGTCTAGATAAACATACCTTCGTTTATAATATGTGATTGTCGACAAAACATAATATCTTTCATCTCTTGAGTTTCTTCTGGAAATATAAGATTAATTTTCGATAAAGATGTAACACATGTATCAATTCGATTGATAGTTTCATTCGATGAAAAAAGTTGTTGAAAATAATATTCTAATCTTCGACCTATATTTGTAACTGTAATCTCATCAAATAAATCATGTGAACAAGTTAAACAAAATGATAATCTATTATTTTCCAATGTTGGATTATAAACAAACATTAACATAAAATCAAACTTAGCTACTTCAAACGATTGGTCAAATGACACTTGCTTGAGACTTGTTCCATCCAAAGATAGTTCATCGCTGTGTGACGATATTGTTATAAAGTCATACATTGTTTCAAGAAATGAAATATTTGATTGATTCATATGTAAACTAGCAAGAATATGTTGAAGTGGATAATGAGAATGTTCAATAATTGATAAACATTTCTCTCGTACATATTTAACAAGATCATCAAATGACCATTGAGGATCAAGTTGAACACGATATGGTAATGTTGAAACAAACATTCCAATTATATTTTGTAATTCATTTCGATATCGATTAGCATTGATAGAAGAAATACATAAATCATTTTCAGCATGAGTTAACTTGAAAAGAAAAGCATATAATATAGTTAGACCCAACTGAAATGGTGTCGCATGATGGATAGAAGCATAGTCCAGAAATGATTGTGAAATTTCGTTATCGAAAGAGATTTGAGTGACACAAGCAGAACTCGATCGATGATTATTAGATAAGCGATGTCGATCAACTGGTAATGATAACGGAGAGTCCAAATTGTATCCTTCTAATTGTAAATACCAAAATTCACGAGATGTTGACATATCAATTAGACGTTCATGTACACTATAATCAATATATTGCAATGATTCATTATCATCTTCTATTGATATTGCATTAGTATTATAAGCTAAGCATAGATCATTGAAAAAGACTGAACGACTTGCTCGATCAAATGCTGCATGATGAAAAGCAATGAGAAGAACATCAGAATTAGTTATGAACTCATCGCTATTATTTTCATTCTCATTTAATGTTATTTGTTGCTTTAGAATTTCAGCATGAAAAACATGACCAGTTGATAAATCGAAGAGAGTAGGATTGATAGTTGTTTGATAAATAATATCTCGAAGTTCATTGTCATCTTCAAATGTTTGATTCATAGTTATTGTGAATGTTTTATGTAGATCTGTAATGCATTGTTTCAAACTACCATCATCATTGTTAAAAATAAGAGATATGCATAGTACTTTATGTTTATTCAAAACATATCGAAGTGCTTGTAATAAACGACTAAATGATAATGATCCTTGAACAACTTGTAAAGTGGACAGTTCATTATAGATAGCAGTGTCACTCGAAAAACGAACTTGTTCATCAAGAAATATGCGCTCTTGAGCAAAAGAGGCGCTACCTG